CAGGTGCTTTTCTTCCTTTTAAATCTCTCAGTAAACTACTTCTCTTTTTTTCCAAAATCAACAAATCTAACTAATAAAAACTGTTCACCATTTCATCCATTTCCACAGTCCTTTTCCCAACTGCAGAAATGGGCTTCTTTTCCAAAGGTGCTGAGATTATATTACTAAAGTTGACATTGACTCATTTAAACCTCCCCCTCTCTCCCCAATAACTTATTCTGTGACTTTACATGATAGACACTGAATTATAAGCCATGCTGATCTAGGCACAAGTTACATAGGAGATTTTAAATTACTCTGGCAAATTACTTAATACATATTTTTTGTTATTAATGATATTAATAATAGGCACTATGGATTTTTCAATTAGGTATAATCAGGTCGTCCTTAAGTTTCTCAGGGTAAAAGTAAAGTAAGACCCACTTCTCTGCCAGGTGTCTAGAATGTATAATTTGTTAGCGACAGGCTGACTTCTCTGGAAGCAGTGTTTATCACTGAGCTGGTGTGAATCAGTTCTTGGCTCATAAATACCTCCAAAGAGCTGTTTTGCATCTTATACAAAACATTGGTAAAGACAGTGCCCACTGCTGATATGTTATACTTCAGTTAACTTGAAAGCTTCAGTCCCTTTGGCTAAAAACGGACTGATTATGGAGATGAATAATCATGCAAGTGACTAACCTTGTTCTAAAATACAGAAGTCAACTTGCTTATTGAATTCCTGATCAGGGCTTACAACCCAAAAGAAAGCACATGGGTACATACAAGTGGAATCTGGCAACCTTGGTCAGGAAAGAAGTGGAGATAAAAAAGCATTTCTTTTGTTGAATTACCATCATGGTGTAGCATGAAATATTCATGGAGGAAGAGGCCTGTATGCGCTGGGATTACCTTACGTCTCAGTGTTGTTTGAAGCAGATGGTCAAAATCAAGATCTTAGGGAAATTAGAGAGATTCCTATTTTATTGGTCTGGGGCAGGGCATTGCATGGCCTTTTAATGCTTCCCAGGTGCCTCTAAGGTTCTGCTGGGTGGCCCATGGTGACACTTCTTGGATCAATATTCTAAAGATGGTCTTGAGTCAAGAGGGCAGATTAAATAGACATAGAATAAAAATCATTCCCAAATATATAAAGAAATCATACAACTCAATAGCTACCCCCCAAAACCCCAAGAAATAAAACAACTATTAAAAAATGGGCAGAAAATCTGACTAGCCATCTTCTGAAAGACATAACAGGTGCAGGAGAAGGTACATCACTAATCAGGGAAATGTAAATCAATGCCACCATGAGATTACTTGACAGCTGTCATTAAGGCTATGATAAAAAAGCACAAAACAAATAACGAGTGCTAGGGAGGCTGTGGAGAAAAGGGACCCACCACAGAAAGTGAGAATGCGAATATAAGCTGTGCAGTCACTCTGGCAGACAGCACAGAGGTTCCTCAACATGTCAGAATTACCAGAGGATCCAGCAGTGCCATTTCTGGACCTTTATCTGAAGGAAATGAAAACATTAACTTAGAAGAAATACTCATCCTCAAAATAATTACTTCCAATAGTCATGATATGGAAGCAGCTGAAGGGCGTATAGATCTACAGTGAAGCATTACTCATCCATAAAAAAGAAAGACATCTTGGGCCCTCCCTGGTGGCGCAACGGGTTAAAGCACAGCACTGAGAATCTAAAAGCCGCTTCCGCATGAGTTCGATTCCCGCCTGCCCCGGAGGTGACCACATGGCGTGGCAGACCTCTCCTGACCCGCCTGCTGCTCCCCTCAGCAGTGTACTTCGTTGATCTGCCTGTTCTGTTCCCCACTCTGTCTCTGGTGAAGCCTCTCGCCGCCCCTGAGCCTCTGGCCTGTACCCCAGTTCTGTATACACAAATAAATAAATCTTTAAAAGAAAAAAAAAGAAAGACATCTTGCCATTTGCAATAACATGGTAGGCCTTGAGGGCATTATGTTAAATGACGTATGATGGCACTTATAAATGTGGAATCTAAAAACAAACAAAAAAACCCCCATCTAACTCATAGAGCCCAAGAACGGGTTCTTGGCTGCTAGAGGCAGAGGGTGAAATGGGTACAAGGGTCAGAGACACAAATTCTAATGTATAACGAAGAAGTCCTGGAGATGCCATGTATAGCATGGTGACTTGTGTTAATAACAATGTGTTGCATATTCAGAGTCAATGAGAGCTTATATTAGAAATTCTTATCATAAGAAAATAACTATGCATTGGTGATGGATGTTAATTGGAATTATTGTGGTGATCATTCTGTAAAATAGATAACTATCAAATCATTATTTTGTACACTTGAATTAATATGTTACATATCAATTATACCTAAAAAAGGAGAAAAAGAAAGGAAGTGGAAAAAAAGTCAATAATATTTCAAAATGGAATAAAGGTTCTTTGTGGGATCTTTGAAAATGTAGAAAGACAGTATCTTTTAAAATTACTTGTTGCAAACAAATTAGTGTTTGTACATTCTAAGTTTCCCCTTGAAATCTTAGAAAATAAATGCTCTCCTCCCCTCTGGGCATCACCAAGGAAAAGGCAGGTGAGAAGACTGAGGTACTGTGGAATCTAGAGGACTTGACCTTGTCTGAAAATCTACATTCACGGACAAGCTAATGTTCTATGATTTATTCTAAAAGGGTTATTGATACGTAAGAGATTGTCCTATAAATTGGAAGGAGTGCCTGAATACGTGGGCAAAACATGAAAAACGATTTCTCCCCGTATCTTTGATTACTCAAATCAGTGAAAGAGTTTCCTTATCTGTTGACTTCATTATTTTTAAAGATTTATTTTATTTATTTATGCACACAGGAGCTGGGGTGTAGGTCAGAGATGTGTATGTGTGCACGTGTGCGTGCGTGTGTATGAGAGAGAGAGAGAATTCCCCAGAGAAAAGTGGGGAGCAGGACAGATCTGAAATACACTGCTGAGGGGAGTAACAGGCGGGTCAGGAGAGGTCTGCTGTGCCATATGGGTCATTTCCCCAGCTAGGGATGGAACTCGTGCTGATATGGCCACATTTTAAAGGTTCAAATGCTGCCTGTGGCTAGTGACTGTCACATGGGCTGATGCAGGACCCGGTGCTGAGCTCCGAGGACTGTGATACACTCTCAGTGAGTGGTTAGCAAAGCACAAGGCAGTCTCTCAGCAACCCCGGTAGAGTCTTGCCAGAGGAAGACCGTCCAACGAGACACTACTGGAGGCCTTTTAATAAGCAGCACCGAAAGGGTGAAACTGGCCAATTATTTGAAGAGAAACGAATCAGCAGAACCTCTCACCTTCTATCTTCAACTCTTACCAATGGGCCAAGGGAGCACCCCAAAGGCCAAACCCTTGAGGGACACAGTAGGAAGAGACCCACACAGCTACAAGGACACCGGAAGGAAAGCTACTGTTTCCATCATGTGTGAATGGTACCATCATTCATGTTTCCCTTTGAAACATTACCACTAATGTTTTAGAATCTAAGTCTAAAAAACAGATGGAAACAAAAGGCACTGAACAGACTGGTGAATTTCACCTTAGATGAAGATCTGCTTTTGGGCCCTTTTTGTATGACTATTATCTAGAATGAAGTGTTCATCTGACGGGGGATTTTCTATTGGTTGTGTTGCTGTAGCAGATTATTTAAGGGAATGGAAATACATACATATATACATATATATAAATATATATATATATTTTTAAATGCTCCTTATATAGTGATGTCCTTGAGAAATAGAGCCATCACTTGACACCGCTTTCTAGTTGCTACTACAATGTACTTATGGAAGGTGGGGACTCCGGAACACGGATCACTGACTGATCAGAGCATCTAGTTTTTGTTAACTGACTTAATGAAATCTACCTTTTTTTTTTTTAAGAAATTTCTTCATTTTGATTGTAGAAATGAAATCTAAAGATCAAGGAAAAAGAATTCATCTATCTCCTCTTCAACCTTCACTTTCTTCCAGAAACTATTAGGCTGCGGATTGAGATTTGGAAAAAACAAAAACAAAAAAACAGGCTTTGTGCAGTTAACCACATGACAGCGGTGTTTATAGAGTGCTGTCTAGCAGGCTTCGGGCCACCCGCTATCTGCACTTTGTAACTCATTCTTACAGGATACAATTGATGCCCTTTTGAAGCCCAAGCAGCAATGTTTCCACTTCATATGAGCAAAAACAAGAGGGGAAGCACTTTCATTTTCTGACAACAGCCCATATGAGCTCATGCCTCCTTCCCCACCCACACACAACCAGAGAACACAAATGCCGTCCCAAGAGGGATTACAGGCACCCCATTTAGGCAAAGGCCATAGGGCTCAAAGCGAGTGGCTTCCACGAAACACCCTTAGGCAACATAGGTGTGTGTGGGAGGGGACACCTCATGATAAATGTACACCATCTATTCGTAGCCCACTTTCCTTCATATTTCCTTCTATATTTATTCTGTATTTACTTCTCTGGCTTGAACTCTCACAAGCTCCATCACCCTCCCCCCCTTTTGTGAACATGACTACCCTGGCTTCCTGGACTTCTGCATACTGTTCTAAATATACTGTCTTGGGGGTAAGAGTCTCTCTCATTCTTTTTTTTCTCCCACAAATTGGTGGGGCAAGCAATCTCTTTAAAATTATAGAAACTGATGACATGCTCTAGAAGAAGACAAAGAAAGCAGAGTGGGAGCTGAGCTTCTCAATGTAGTCCTGTTTGTACTACAATGAGAAAGGTGAAGATCTTGAGTGAAATGTTAGCAGATCTCCATTCAGGACAGTCGTACATGGACCTGATGAAGCTGTAAGCCAAACTCTAACAGGAAGAAGACCTACGGCCACCTCCAAGAGCTGCCCGGGTGGCAGGTGACCTGGACACTTTGGTGTCCTGATCCTGCCCTAATGAGGCCAGGCCGCTGTGCTGGTCAAAGGAAAAAGAGTTAGATCATCAAACACATGCAGTCACTTCTGAGGGGGAGTTTTCCATTTTGTCAGTTACCTTGATTCTGGGTATTTGGTGAGGGTGGCCAGGCTGCTGGTGTACATGTGGCCGCCCACGTCAATGTGGACGGGCGCATTGGATTTTGTGAGTTGTGCTGGAGTAGGAATGCCTTGGTTGTTCAGTGGAGATGCAGGAGATCTAGTGATCAGAGGTCTTGACATATTGGGCCGACTGTCCTACAGAGAGATAAGCAAGTTTAGACATGTTTTCTTTTGTTAGTGGAGAGAAAGGAAATAAACATCATAAAGAATAAGCCAGTGACTCATTCGGCAATAAAACCTTGACAACTAGTAGGCTTTTGGTTTGTGATAATGACTATTAGAAAAACAAATTCTGTAACAAAGAAAACTTCCCATGCTCGGAATCAAGGAGCTGAACTCACATTCACTTCAAGCCATCGTGAGCATTACTGCAGCTTGTTTTACCAATCAATCCTCCTTGCGCTTAGCAACTGGGGAAGTACCATTCATCCCAAATGAAAAGATAATCAACACTTAAAACAATACACATCTAAATATAATGTGTGCTTTCGCCTTCTCTTTAAAAACTTCCTTATTGCTATGCACTTGGAATAAATACATGCCTTCAACACGTGTTCTGCAAAATGTTTTCTTCAATTTCTACTTTTCAATTTATTAAGAAAGAGGTCACGGCCCTCCCTGGTGGCGCAGCGGGTTAAAACACTGCACTAAGAAGCTAAAGCCACTTCCGCATGAGTTCAATCCCCGCCTGCCCCGGAGGAGA